AACCTTTTAATAAAAAATTGTGAATCAAATGTAATGATCATATCATTGTGATATAATCATTACAATGGACATATAACAATGTGGCAAGATTATTATCCAGTTTAACCAAAACATTCAGAAGAAAATAGAATAGAAATATCCCTTATTGAAAGATCACGTGTTTTAGCTACAAAATAAAATAAAAATGGATTTACCGGTATGTATGTCCAAAGATTACTGATGACAAGACAAAGATACAGAGCAGGAGAAATAGATTAGAGCTTCAGTAGCGGCAGGTCATTGATTAAAGCAGACGTGCTATGAAACGCTATAAGATGATGAGGCTGCTTGAGACTGACGTTGTTCCCCATGCACAGATAATCTGAGAGTGACCATGACTAATCATCGCTATCGTTATTTCATTATTTAGCTGATGAAGGCAGATGAAGGTTGCTAACAGGCCAGCAGTGTTTAAAGGTATAGAGGACGATATTTTATTTCCAGATGGATCATCTAAATAAGTGGCAATTAAACACACCGTTTAATTGCTTAATTTCTTAATATGGTAAAGGGTCCGTTTTTTTTATTTTGTTGTAATCATTACATTTAATTGTTGTGAAAATAAAGTGACATTTTAAGTCAAAAGCCCATGAGATGCATTTTTTGTTTAGATTCATATTCGTATTCCTATTGAAAATATAAAAAGTAGATTTATTTTAAATATTTTTTCAGCGTTAATGTGTAGATTATAGTTATATCTTAGTAAAAAAAAGAGAAATATAAAAATAGAGGTTAAACTTACATTTTGTACATTCGATTTAAGTTTTTAGTATTTTATAAGTATTTTTTAGCCTTTGATGGCATCAACCAGTCTTTTAGCCTTTGTATTTACTGGGTCAGTATTGGTGTTTGTCAGTTAAAAAACTACCATGATTCGATTCCTGCTCATATTTATTTTTCTTAATACAGCATTTTAACTTATGAAGGCTGTATGGCATGAGATATGACACCAGATTGTTCTGTGGCATCCTAACGAGCTCTTGGCGTAATCTTGGTTCACAGTTTTCTATCAGGAGGTTCAATTAAATTCAATTCAGTTTATTTCTATAGCGCCAATTCACAACATGTCATCTCAAGGCACTTTACAGTTCACCAGATCATACAGTCAAATTGATACAAAGTTTCTATCTAAGGAAAATCAGTTGATTGCATCGATTCATGAACTCAAATACAATCCCTTACACTGAGCATGCTTGTAGCGACAGTGGAGAGGAAAGATTTCCTTTGAACAGGAAGAAACCTCCAGCAGAACCAGGCTCAGTGTGAGCAGCCATCTGCTGAGGCCGACTGGGGTTCAAGGAGACAGAAGCAGATTCCCCACTACTGCGAGTTTTCCCAAATTGCGGATAGTGGTTTCATATTTTGGTTCATTGGTGTCCCACCATCTGAAAAGGGACTTCAAGTAGGGATTTAAGCAAGTTTGTTTTTCTACTTTTTTTTTTTTTTTTTTTTTTTTTTTTTTTTTTTTTTTTACCTTTTAGACAAATTATTTTCTGAGATTTTTAGCCAGAGGGGGTTACTTTGTAAATCATTTTTTTTTTATCTCTGCAGGTCAGGTATTAATCATGACTGGGTTTGGTTTGTGAAATTGAGCTCGACTTTGTATGTCACTTCTTTTAATCATAGGTAATTTTTATGCCTATGTAAATTAATAAGATAAGGATTCATTAGTTATCTAATTGCTTTTAACATTAAGTAAGTACTTTTTCACATATCCCCTTTTTTAGTTGCTTTTTAGCCATCAAGGCCAGACTCTAGATCTCAGAACCATCCTGTTCTGAGCTGTTTACCTGACCTAGCTTGGACTCCTGCCTGTTCACTACATCGGGGACTCTCTTCGTTTTGAACTTTCCCACGGTCTTTCTCCATCTAAGCCTGTCTGCCTGAGCTCTCTGTTGGACTAATGGAGCCCTGAAACTGCCTGAGTGCTCTGTGGATTCCTGGAGCATTGGATCTGTCTGTTCCGGTTCAGATCGGAACCCCTGGCCATGTTGCGGACTCTAGATCTCAAAACCTTCCTGCTCTGAGCTCTTTACCTGACCTGGCTTGGACTCCTGCCTGTTCACTGGGGCCACTGCATCGGGGACGCTCTTCATTTTGAACTTTCCCACGGTCTGTCTCGCCTGAATTCTGGGTCCTACATTCTGAGCTTACGACAATGTACCCCTTTGGGCATTTTCTCTTACCATGAGTTCCCCTCTCAGTCAAAAGTAATGATGATTGTCCAAAAGAAGAACATACAATAACTTATTATAAAATAAAAACTATTTTACTTAATCTTTTAATTTGAGCATTTAATTCTTAGGCATTTTATTCTTTCCACCTCAAATAAAAAAGGACTTGGAAATTAGTAAGGAATCAAAATAAAAACAAAATAAAATATAATAAACATGTATTTATAAAATAGGAGGCAATGTGTCAAGTAACAAAGTACAAATACTTTGTTACCTTACTTAAATAGAAATATTGGCTATCTATACTTTACTGGAGTGTTTATGTTTTAGACAACTTTTTACTTAGACTCCTTACATTTTAAAAACAGTCTCATTTGTTTTGTTTCATTTAAGCTCATGTTAGTTATGGCCTGTTGTATTAAAAAAAACAAAACAAAACAAAAAAAAAAAAACATCAAAAATAATTGTTTTATCCAGACAATTCATGTCTTTGTGGTTGGGCTCAGTACTGCACCAACTTGTTCACCATACACTAAAATAAATAGTTTTTCAAGATGATGCAGTTAAATTTGACACTGCTGCCATTAGTTATTAAACAGAAAAATTAAGTATAAGGATGTTATAATCCAGGCTGCTCAGTGGCGCAGTGGTTAGCACTACTGCCTTGCACCAAGAAGGTTCTGGGTTCAATTCCTGGCCCAGGGTCTTTCTGCATGGAGTTTGCATGTTCTCCCTGGGCATGCGTGGGTTCTCTCCAGGTACTACGGCTTCCTCCCGAAAACATGACTGTTAGGTTCATTGGCTTCTCTAAATTGTCCTTAGGTGTGAGTGTGTGTGTGAATGGTTGTTTGTCCTGTGTGTCTCTGTGTTGCCCTGCGATGGACTGGCAACCTGTCCAGGGTGTACCCCGCCTCTTGCCCATTGACTGCTGGAGATAGGCACCAGCACCCCTCGACCAGCAACCCCAATTGGGACAAGCGTTTAAGATAATGGATGGATGGATGGATGTTATAATCCAGAACTGCAGAAAAATATTCTTTTAATAGGGTAGTACATAAAAGCCTCTGTCCTTAGCTGTCATGATCTGGCCTGTTTGCTCTCCCTTAATTAGTCATTCCTTTCACCTGCCGTTTTCCCTCCCTGCCTCAATTATAATTTATTCCTCTCACCTGTTTCCTCTTGGTTATATTCAGTTCAGCCTGAGCATTCAGGGCCAGATCATTATTTGTCTTTCTGTTAGTTTTATTTCATGGTTCATGTCCTGGATCCTGGCAGCCAGTGGAAAGAGGGTTTTTGTGTTTGTCTCATCTCCTGATCATCCACTGTTCCTCCCCCGCAGAGTCCTCTGGGTTTTTGGCTCTATATGTTGGGAGGTTCAGTTTTTATCCAAGTAAGCCTGGCTCCAGGGAGGAGACCAGTTTAAAGGTCCTGCATCAAGTTCTGGTTCCACGTCCTGTCTCGGCTACCCTCTTCCACTGAGCCTGCTCAGCTGCACCTGATCCTGTCTGCTCCTGTGCGTGACCACCTGTTCACGCTTTCAGACCTTTTCAGACTCTGAACCTGTCCCGGAGCTCTGTTATTGCCTGGAAGCCTGGATCCTGCTACCTGTTCTGTTCCTGCCTGTTCTGCAACCTGTTCTGTCCGTTCCTGCCTGATCTGTATCCCTGATCAGGATCGACTTCCTGCAACTTCTCCGGAGCTGCAGCACCGGGGACACTCTGGGTGACGCGAGCCGCGTCAGCTGTCAGCCCATCGGCTGGATTGCACCCCTCACAAGGGGTATGGACTGAACTGCTAAACCAGGTAAGTGACTCACTGAGAACATAATCTTCAGTCAGATGATCGTGGTCACTTACCTGTGTTTCTCCCTTAAAGTGTCTGAGATTTGGCGGTGCCCCGCCCCCCTCATGCAGTGTCCGTGAGCCTCAGCTCCACTTTGGTTTTTGTTTTATTTTAATAAACTTTTTGAACTTTCCAACTGACTGTCTCTCCTTGAATACTGGGTCCATCTGTCCTCGTGTCATGACATTAGCGTGTTTTGCTGCATTACTTTTGCTTTTATATTTAAAGTAGTATTAAAAATGGTACTTGGAAACAAAATGTAGGTAAAAAATTATAGTCAGAGTGACTTAATTAGTTTCCCTTTGTTTTCACTGAGACACTTCAGCTTCCTTGGTTGAGCTCTGGTATTTTGGTGTTAAAAACATCTGATGCCAGTCTGTTCTTCTGCTTTGTTTTGATATGTGTCAAAATTAAAAGTCAACTCAATCATATTAAAAAACGTAATTCTGGTTGATAACATTTTTTATCAATTGGTTCCTCACAAAGCAAAACAGATCCTAGCCCTATTTTATTTTACTACCTTAGAAATAAAAAATTATCATATAGAGCATGCAATGCATTCACGGCCAACTAGGGGTATGAGAACCCCCCTGGTTGGGAAACACTGCTTTAGGTAATAATAACACATAACAAACAAGCATTATGTTCATAACTGATCTGCGGGTGCTTTTAATTCTCTGCAGAGCTCGAATGTAATGAAATAAGATATTTATGATGTAGAAATGATAAATGGAAGGCATTGTAGGAGAAACCGTACAAGCTTAGAGGTTAACTGTACTTTTTATAGTAAAACTTGTTTTCAGACATCAACCCATAAAGATTCACTTCTTTATTCAGTAAAAAAACACATGCACATCAGGTTTTTCTTTGTGAGTCATCATTTAATTGATCATAAACATGTACAGGTGTTTTTATCAGGGGCAGTGCTTGGCATCAGCCACAGGTTCACAGCGATCCACTACGGCCCGGACTTCTCCGATCTGACGTCCACCGCGTCTGACCGTTACGGTATGTTCTGCTCAGACGAGCAGTGAAGGGGATGTCTGCTTTCATCTTCCTCCCCTCCATTCGGACCCTGCAGGAGTGGTTCGGTTGTACTTTGAGCTCAACTGACACTGAATGGCTAACCGATTCCACCACAGTGAGACCGCTAGAGAACTGCATCGTTTTCTCTACGCTCATCTCAATGCCAGCGGATCCGATGAGAGGGATATTGGCTGTGATGCTGCTGGTTATGCCAATCTTAGTCGCTCTGCCAATGTTCCAGGTCTTCTCCACTTCTGAGGTCTTGGAGATGGTGGCTGTTTTCACAATGGCCTGGCACTCATTGTTGGTGACTCTGGAGTTATGCATCGTTTCAGGAGCATACTGATAGATGGCGACCTCATCAATGCCATACTTGACATCAGTGATGTGCTGAGTGTACGCGTCCCTGTTGATGGTCAGAACCTGATAGTGCTTGTACCAGTATTCATCACCTTCCCAAGGCAGGAAGAAGGCCTCAAACTTAGGAACAACCTTTCCAAGACCATACTCGTTTTTTCCAACAAA